AAATATTTGTAAATACATTTATATTCCTAATTTTATTTCTAAGTGGTTGCGCCACCATGACATTTGAAAACATACCAATTGCCGAACAGAAGTTTTTCAATTATTTCAACAGCTTTATTAACTACTGGTATGTATGAAATTTGTTTATAGGAAAGATTTTAAACATGCAATCATGCAACTGTATTTTAGTTAGAATTTATCATCGCTAAAACTCAATTTGAAATAGTTTTCTTAGTTTGTTCATTTGTGAGGGTGGTTGCGCCACCTGACGTTTTGGAGTATTGAGGTACCAAAACATGAAATAATATTTATAATTTTAATGTACTCAGAATGTATTCAACCTAAAGTTTTATCGAATAAAGTGATGCTTGTCATTAAAGTATCAAATTATTTTAAGGAAATAATGCACTTAGACACCAAAATATGCATGTCATGTAATTGACCCCATATTATTAAATAATGAAATAATTGTCAGTTCTTTAATTTAATGAACTATGTATGCCAACATTTCCCCTTAATCTTGCATGCTTTAAACATGTTAATGATTTTTATTTTAAAAAATAATATGTGAATGTTCAAAATATAAGCCAGTTCAAAATGCACAGAAGGCATGGGTGCATCCATCAATCTGAGAGGTATGGAAGACAAGGTGGAAGACCTCCATACGAGGTGGAGGAAGAAGAGGACGAGGAAGAGCAAGACTAAGAACAGTAATTTCAGATGAAATCAGAGCTACTGCAGAGTTGCTGCCTTATGATAAACTTCTTTAAATTACTTTTTTTCCACATCAATCTACACTCCATACACTATACTGACAAAGCAAAAACAGAATTGTCACAACTTCGTAAATTTATTAAAAATAAAAACTGAAACAAGTACATTGCATAAGTATTCATACCTAACTAAATATTTAGCTGAAGCACCTTAACAGCCTCAAGTCTTTTTTTGTTTTATGCAACAAGCTTTGCTCATCAGCATTTTGTAATTATCTGCCATTCTTCACCTCACCTGTTCACCTCTCAAGCTCTGTCAGGTTGGATGGGGGCAGATGCACATTTTCAGGTTTCTCCAGAAATATTTGATTGGGTTCAATCCCAGGCTCTGGCTGGGCCACTCAAGGACATTCACATTCACACAATGATCCTAAGCACACAGCAAGAGTGGCTTATAGACATATAAACCACTCTTGCTGTGTGATTAGGGTCATTGTCCTGTTGGAAGGTGAACCTTCTACCCAGTCTGAGGTTCTGAATGCTCTGGACTGGGTTTTCATTAAGGCTATCTCTATATTTTGCTGTACTGAGCGTTTCTTCTACAACGAGTCCCTCAGTCCCTGCTGCTGAAAAACAGCCCCACAGCATGAGGCTGGTATCAGTACACTTTACTTTTGGGATGGCACTCTGCAGGTGATGAGCGGAGCTGGTTTCCTTCAAACATGATGCCATGTGTCTTAACTGAAGAGATGATTGAGTTTGGCCACACCGCCATAAAGACTTGATTGGTGGAGTGTTGCAGCGATGTTTGTCCTTCTGTAGATTTCTCCTATCTCCGCATATGATCGTGGACCTCAACTCGAGTGACCATCAGGTTCTTGGTCACCATGCTAACCAAAATCCTTCTCCATCAACTGCTCAGTTTGGCCAGAAGGCCAGCTCTAAGAAGAGTCCTGGTTGTTTCAAACTTCTTCCATTAAGGGTAACAGAGACTACATGCTTCTGTGACCCTTCAATGAAGCAGAATTTTTTTCTGAACTCTTCCAAACCTGTTTCTGAGCTCTACAGGCAGTTATTTTGACCTCAGGGCTTGGTTTTTGCTCTGATATGCATTATCAGCTGTTAGACCTTTTATTAAGACGTGTGTGCCTTTCCAAATCATACCCATTCAATTGAATTTGCCACAGGTTAACTTCACTTGAAGTGTAGTAATATCTACAAGCAATATGAATGCTCCTGAGCTAAATTTTAACTGTCCCAGATAGGACAGCAATGGAATCATTTTAGTTTTTTATTTTTAATAAATTTGCAAAGATGTTTTTTTGCTTGACAATTGTGGTGTATGGAGTGTAGATTGTTGTGGGAAAAAACTAATTTAAAGCAGTTTAACATAAGGCAGCAACAAAACAAAATGTGAAAAAAATGAAGGGGTATGAATATATTCGCAAGGCACTGTATATACTGTGTGTGTGTTTTTTTTTGTTGTATATTCTCTAAGATATATATATATATTCCAAACTTAGGTGTGATTTATTTTGTTTATGTGTGTGTGTTTTATTGCAAAATATTTACAATACATCAAAAAATGGAGAACAAACTTTTATTGTATAGTGTCTAATGAATGATCTGTAGTGTGTATATTATTGACTAATGTGTGTATGATTTGAAAGCATTGTTTGATTTTGAGTACAGGTGAAATGGTTTTGAAGCGATTGCTTGATTTTGCCAGAAGAGTCAGGGGTTCTGTGAATTTAGTTTGAAGGTTTGGATTTGTGTTTAAGGTTCTGAGAAAATGAGTGATGGTTTCAAGAAATGTATTTTAGCAATTCATGAAACAATGTTATTAACTAAAAACAATTGTACTGTTTATAGAATAGTGAGTAAAATCATGTTGCATCTAAGGTTTTTCTTAAATAGGCCTTTTGAGATAAAAATGTTCTCATATTTTCATACATGTTGTTTTAGATCATAAAAGCCAAAGGCTGTTTTATTTGAATAAAATCATCTCTGATTTGTAAATAACATGCAGCAGCCAGCTTGCATTTCTTTAATAAAAAAGTTGGTCAGACTTGCGCATACAGTACACTTGCGCGCGCCCCTTTAAATAATGAAATAGCCTACTCGTCGGAATACAGCACTGTTTCATACACAATGTTTATAAACTGTGGTTGATATGTTTAGATAAAGTATCTGTGATTATCAGTAAATCACAACAATCCCGTGCAATGAACACTGTCACTGATTTTCGAAAAATGTGATGAAGTACTGATCTATAGGCCTAGCCTATAAATTCTATATTAGGCCTGTAGATCCATGGATAAAGTACAAAATGTCGTACAAAATGTCTTTTTTTTCAATTATTGGATAGCATTATATTGTAGACTGATTGCAGATTAATCATAATAAACATGTTGCTACAATAAAAACAATAACATTGAAATACATTTAAAACAGTGTTCCTATTATACCTCCTGCAGTAACTTAAGCAGCGTGCAGATCCTCGTTTATCTCAGGACTGTGGCAACACCAGCAGTGCATACTGTAACCATATAATCTTCTACAATGGGAAAAACATATTGTTTTTATGACATATGTCGTTATTACGAAACAAATATGAAGTTTAAAGACATAACAACGAGATGTTAGGACATGACTGGGAAAAAATAATTTGTGGCAGCTATGCGCCCATCACTGTGTGGTAAACTGTGTGGTTAACTCCTTATAGCAAAACATGACAGACTCAAGCCCTAAAAAGGGAGCACACGCTTTGGACGTGCAATTCTGAGAACACTTAAGGCAAGATCATGTTCTTTTCGCATGTTTGGACACTTCAAACAGATGTTTGCACTCACAATCTGAAAAGGTTCTTTTTTTTTGCTCTGCGTTCGTGTTCGTCCATTATTTTACCCAACAAATCTTTGAAAATTACTGGTCATTTAAATATGCAGTGAGCTCATAAATATTCAAAAGAGGCCGTCTTCAGCTCCATATATGGTTATTTTGGGGAGGAGACTGAGGCAAACTGAAACCACGTGCGCACAATATTTAGATAATTGTGATTTATAAAGCCAGCCTTGCGCAGTTTCTGGCATACGTATGGCTTTATAAATCTGAAAACTTTTGTGCATACGCAAAATCTAACTTTTGTACGTACACACACTTTTAGTTTTATACATGAGGCCCCTGAACACACAATACAGTTATATGGGACAATCTCAGCTTCTAGCATTTACAGTAGTGCACATACAAGAATGGTTCACTTTCTGTCCTGTAAGATAATGTTACTACCACCATATAACCAATTCCTAAATCTGAGATTTTTTTTCTCCCTTGCAACAGAAAATGTAAAACTGAAAACCAGCAAGAAAAATTTGACAGATCTGTTTCACACATTTTGAATAACGTGTCCGGACACTATGCGTATTTTTATTTTTTTATTTTTTCAAATCTAGATAAAAGGAATGTCAGACTTTTTTGCAACATAGTGTCTAAATGCTGCTTAATTTATGTAAAATTAATGTGTGCAATGTTTCACTGAATAGTTGAGAGCTCTGTGTAAAGGTTTTCAGTGAAATTCTTTCAGTTTTTCCTTATTTTTATTCCTGGGAAAAAATGGTTTATAGTTTTGTGAAACCCATGTAATTGAAAAAAAAATTACTTAATCCAGCCCAAAGTGCTTTAATTTTATTGACTTGATTACCTGAGAGCTTTCACAAAATGAATAATGGATTTCTTGGAGCATGGAAATCACAATAATAATAATTAAAAAATAAAATAATAATCATAATAAATAAAAAAATTTAATAAATTAAAACTTAATTTTAAGTTTTGAAATAGGTGTTTAAAACTAAAGTAGATATCAATCATGCGTCATTGGATTCTGACTCAAAGCATTATAGTTATTGACCCCTGACACTTCACCATGACACTAAAATATTCCCAGCCAAAGAACACAGTTTACAACAATGGGTGTTTGTTTCAGGTAATTAAAACACACATGATGCAAAACAGCAGTTATTGCGGTAAAATTAATTAACAAGCTTATTTTCAGCAATTTGACACAAGACCAACAAAGTTAAACAGCATTCAATAATTTAGTTGTACATATAACAATTCAGTACAACATTTTTTTTTGTAGATTCACACAAATATTATCTGATTTATATACAGCTTTGTGGAATGCACTTATGAGGCAGCTGATAATCTGACAGAATGCAATTTAAGACATTATGTATGCAATAAGTATATAGGCTAGGTCAAATATCATAGTCCTTGTTTGTTTCAGGGTAAAAAATGGACAGAAATAAAATTACAATCAATTATCAAATTCAGTATTTTGGAGGCATAATACTGAATTCTAGCTTTTACTTTGCACTGCATTCCTTCATCCCTTTCTGTAATCTCTCCTTTCTGTCTGTCTGTTGTAAGTGATCCATTACATTATACAACATATTTTTCTTTATGCCTTCCTTTCTTTTTCTGTCTTATATTTTGTTCTTCACTCCCTCACTCTTTCTTAAGCGCTGTCCTGTCTGTAAGAATGCTACTTCCAGGGTTGTTCTTTCAGATAAGGATCTCCACCAGATCTAGGTCAGGCAGGGGCATCTTCTGTCCTCGAACTTCTAGGCCTTTAGCCTGGCTGGATTCTGCACATAAAATTTTTATTTTTTTAAAATCTTTTTTCAGTGATAATATTATACTAGCACTATTTCTTGAGATACTAATATCTATACTAGCATTAGATGCTAGTATTTTAGCCATTTGAATCATTTAGCCATTTGAATCATTCATAATTTTTTTCAGTAGGGGTCTATAATTGTGATAAAAAGGTAATTGTGTCACTCACAGCACCATGTACAAAAACATCAAGACTTGAATTTTTGTCTCATAGTTGTATGTTGTTGGTGGATAAGCTCTGGATTCAATGCAGTAGAAGATAAAGCTTTTATTGTGTTTACTAAGCTTCTAACAAGATGTGTTCCACTGTTCCATTGTATTTTACTTTGTATTATTGTGGTCTACATTTATTGACTGGGCAGAGAGTCTACAAAAAGCAGCCAGTGTTATTAATTCAACTAAGGGACCCTGCTATTTGATGGATCCCAAGAAATTGTCAGTAATTGTCAGAAATTTGGCAGTACCAGTCGTTATGTTAAAGGATCACAGGTTCTTATTTGCAAGGCGAGTTTGAGTTTCAATTTAAAGCTGGCATGTATACCCAATTGAAGTGGCTTATCGACTGAGATAAAAAGTAACACAGGACTTGATTTTGTTCATGACTGGATCATAGAAAGTGCAAACTAAATGGATAAATGTTTTATATGAGTGACAGGTTTCTGGAGGGGAGGGATTGAAAATCGCCTGGCCATTCACAGAGACGTCATAGCAAGGGGGAAGGGCACACTAATGTTTTTGATGAAAGATTTTTTTTTAATTAAGATGTGAATGGATAAATCATTCGCAATAAACACTGGAGGATTCAACAAAAAATGAGAACAGACAATTTTGATTTCATGGTGACTTGAATTCCTGAGTAGAACTGTGCCCTGCACATGAATGTATAGATACAGAAGCTACATTGTCACTTGCTTCTTTCTGCCTGTCTCACCTGTCTTTTCTTGTATTGTGGAGGTTGCAGCACTAAATATCTTTGGACTAAGTCCTGTTTGACTGCCGCTGTCTCTGCTGGCAGATTTAGAATGAAGAGACAGGAGAGGAGTGAAGGGGAGAGGGAATGATAAAGGAGGCTGAAGAGAGCCAGATGAGGGCCAGGGTAATGTGGAAGAAGAAGAGGAAGGGAGAGAGGAAGTGCTGGAACGCGGAACACAGGAGGATGAGGTTATTAATGATGTGTTTGAACCTGTGGAGGCCAAGAAGGGAAGAAAAGAGGAAGGTAGAGAGGAGGAGAATGATGGAGGAAGAGAGGAGGCAGGGAGAGATGAAGAGACAGAGACCAAAAGAGAGGGCAGATAGGGAAGGATGTGCTCTGCTTGTTGTTTTCCCAGGAGAACATCTGCAAACAAAAACACAAACCATTATTAAGTAAAACCTTTAGTAGCACATGGTCACATTGCAGTAATGAGTGTCAAAATACATTTACACTGCCATTTCTGGATTTTCATCAGCCATTACTCAAGTCTACAGTGTCACATGATCCTTCAGAAATCATACTAATGTGCTGATTTATTATCAATTTTGGACACAGTTGTGCTGCTTTATATATATATATATATATATATATATATACATTTTATTATTATTTTTTTTAATCTGGGATACTTTTTCAGGATTCTTTGAAGAACAAAAAGTGACAAAGATCAGCATTTATTTCAAATAACAATATGTCTTTCTAACAATGTCTTTACCATCACTTTTTATCAATTTAACACATCCTTGCTGAAAATGTTTTAATTTCTTTCAAATAAAGAAAGAAAAAATTACTGACCCTAAACTTTTGAACTGTTGTACATTGTTACAAAAGATTATATTCTATATTCCATTTTACATATACACACATCTTTGCTGATGAAGTCTTGCCATGCTTTGTGTACACAGTCTTAATTGTAAAGAACAATAGTGGGTGAAAACTGAAAGTGAATGATAGGGACCCATCGAACACTAAGAAGGACTGTGTCCAAACAACACACAACTACTAGTGCAAAGTTACAGCAAACCTCAATATTTACCTTGAAGTCCCTGTTTCCACAAATCGACCACAGAGAACTTTACAAAGCTTTACAACCATGGGGAACTTTACAAACCCATGGAAGAGCTGTAATTGTTAAGTTAAGAGCTGTAATGTGTTATTATCACAAATAGTTGGAGCTCCAAAAACATCTGCCCTGACCAATCACCTGATTTAAATATTATCAAACCACCTTGGGCAGTTTTGGATAGTAGAGTGAGAAGCAGATTCCCTCCTTCAACATCTCTTAAGCAACTATGTTCTGATAGTTGTATGAATCTATTCAAAGAATGTTGAAAATCTATTCTAAGAATGTTGAAAACTACAAATGGTGGTGAAACACCTTAAAAAAGAAATATCACCCATTTCCCAGGTGTTCAGATTATTTTGTCCAACCCCTGCTGTCTGTGTATGATACATTATAGAAAAAATAAGGCATAGTACTTTAATCAGAATGAATGTATTTGTATATGTATTACCTCTGTGATCGGTCTGTGATGAGTGACGTGTGTGTAGTCCAGTTGCTATGGAAATGGAGGGCACAGAGCGGGCAGGACGCAGAGGAGTGGGATCTCGACGGGAACGCTGTTGTAGGACTTTAATCATGGCATCTTTCTCCAGCAACTGAGCATGTAAGTCCTTCATCCTGTGACAGATAAGATATCACCTTTTTTAAACCTTTTTATTTTTTAAACCTATTCACTTTCAACGGAGTGCCCTGCAAGCTACATTTATACGAAATTCGTAGACACATGTGACATATTTAATACCTACAAAAAAGTATCTTGGAGTAAAATCCAAAACTCAATAGGAAGTCAGTTATTTTACATTTTCTCAGCAAATTTTGTGTAATCTTTTTGCCATTTCCAGGCATTGTATTTAACTCCTGCTAGAGATTTAATCAGATCAACACCAAATTTGGTCAGTATAACCCTTTGTGATGTTAATTTGCGAAGATCTTGAGTTTTCGTTGAAGGGCATGTCCATGGCGGCCTGACAAATTTCGATGTTTCGCCATGAAACTGGAAGTTGTTATAACTCAGGCATACAATGTTTGATCTGCCCTTGCTGAAACTTGTTAGATAAGAGGCCTGTCCTGAGCACATGCCCATGCCCATGCCCATATTTAGTTATAGCCATAGCTCCACCTGCTGGCAACAGGAAGTGGCATGTTTTATGCTGTAATCAACTCCTCCTAGAGATTTAATGATATCAACATTTATATTTAGTCAGTCTAATCTAAAGGCCTTTGCAATGTTAAATTGCGAAGATCTTGAGTTTTCGTTAAAGGGCGTGTCCGTGGCGGCCTGACAAAGTTAAATGTTTCGCCATGGAAAAGATACAAATACAATGTCTGATCTCCCCCAAGCTTCACAAGTTTGATTAGAGTCCTGGCCTGAACACATCTAAAGGCCAATATTCAGTTATAATCATAGTGCCACCTGCTGGCAACAGGAAATGACTTGTTTTACTCTAACTTAAACATGCAATGTCCAATCTGCCCCAAACTTCACATATTTGGTAAGAGTCCTGGCCTGAATACATCTACATGCCAATATTCAGTTATAATTGATAGCGCCACCTGTTGGAAACAGGAAATGTCAAGTTTTACACTATCTAAAACATGCTGTGTACAATCTGCCTCAAACTTCACATGTTTGGTAACAGTCCTGGCCTGAAGACATTTAAAGGCCAATATTCAGTTATAATCATAGCTGTTGGCAACAGGATATGTCATATTTTACACTAACTCAAACATACCACGTTCAATCTGCACCAAACGTTATGTTTGATAAAAGACCTGGCCTGAAGTCATCTACATGCCAATACTCAGTTATAGTCATAGCGCCACCAGCTGGCAGTAAGAAGTTTGGCACATATAAATTACTTTGACATATTCCTCCTATATTTACTACTTTTAAAGCATATTGCCCACCGTTGGCTGTTTCCCTAAGACCACTGGGTGGAGGTGGCTCCAGGTGTGAGGGCCCTTACAACTCTTCTTGCAGCTTTAATAATATATTGAATTCAAATCATTGAAAGAAAAAAAATGGCCTTGTAATTGATCATTTATTTTGCCAGTGTCTAACTTACATATATGTTTATTATATGTGAATACCTTTGTTCCATTTCCTGACAGTGACGACTGCTCTGGATTCTGTTCTCATCCTCATGCAGCCACAGAGAGCTGTCGCTGTAACTGCCACTGCGAGAATGCTGGATTATAGTTGTATGTCTGAAAATAAATATAAAATAAATCTGTCACTTTGTGGGTAATCAAAAATCATAAGCTGACTATGTTTATTCATGCTGGTTTCGTCCGGCCAGAGGAGAACTGGCCCCCCAACTGAGCCTTGTGTCTCCCAAGTTTTTTTTTTTTTCACTTCTGTCACCGATGTTGTTTTGGCTTGCCACTGTCGCCTTTGGCTTGCTTAGTTGGGGATGCTTAATTTCTGGCAATACTGTTGGCTTGATAGCAGAAACAAGAGAGCTGAACTAGATGATGACATCCCTGAATCAACAATGAACTGACTTTAACTGAAAAACTATTTTGTTATTATCCTGTTGCATTATTGACTAACTATTTTGCTGTTTGACACTGTAAAGCTGCTTTGACACAATATGTATTGTATAAAGCACTATATAAATAAAGGTGACTTGACTTTTAAACATTTTAATATTTTAAAGACTATTGTTGTTTATGTCTTCATTATAATTATTGAAAATAAATAATATTTTTAACCATTTTAAAGCAACAATATTTGAAATGTGAGGAACAAAAGAGATATTAATAAAATGTCGGTCAAACCCAAATAAACAGCCTCAGCTTCACTTCCACAGTGTCAAAAAATGCAACATGGTCAAGCACCTTTAGCATTTCTATTACAGTTTTTCTGAATTGCTAAAACACGTTTCTTGAAACCATCACTCATTTTCTCAAAACCTTAAACACAAATCCAAACCTTCAAACTAAATTCACAGAACCCCTAACTCGTCTGGCAAAATCAAACAATTGCTTCAAAACCATTTTACCTGTACCCAAAATCAAACAAATCTTTCAAATCATACACACATTAGTCAATAATATACACACTACAGATCATTCATTAGACACACTACATTAAAAAATGGAGAACACAGTGTCCAGTGCATGTAGTAAAAAAACAACAACTGTTATTATTGTATATAGTAAATATTTTGCAATACTGTAATCTGGTAATATGAATGAAGTGTGTGCCATTTCATGCAAAAGTTTGCTTTTGATAATGCTATGTGTAGTTTCGGTTGCAGTGCTTCATTTTGCAGGATATATGAGGTATTTTGCAGTTTGGGTGTGTGGTTTTGTGAATTGTGTTAAGTTTTTTGATAAAACCAGACTAGTTTGAAAAATTGTGTGTTAGCAATTGGAAAAAACTGTAATGTTACTCTCAAAAAAAAAAACACAGAGTATATACATACAAATATACATATGAATCAGAGGAATTCATCTATGTCGCAGGCAGGCAATGGTGGAAAAAACCCTCTGGTGTGGCGGATCCAGCCTTGACAAGACAGCACGTTTACAGTATGTCACCACAGGCCAGTTCTTCCACCATAACGTGTTAATCTTGTAATTCTACACAAGATTCTCTTCCACTCTTCTTGTGCTGTTCTTTTGAACTTTCCACTGATTATGGTGGCCACAGAGAATCTGCTAAATTTTGGTTGAACTCTTTGTCCTGCCTCTGTCGTTCCAAGCACAAGAACATGGTCTATCACATTAGCTCTGATTTCATCTGAAATGACTGTTCTTGGTCTTGCTCTTCCTCCGCCCCTTCCATACCTCTGAGATTGATGGATGCACCCATGCCATCTGTGTACTTTGAACTGGCTTATATTTTGTATTTTGTACATTCACATATTTAGAAACAAGTTTAACAGTTTTGAATTATTGTGTGTAAACAATGACAACCATGTTGCAGTTGTGCTTAACTTTTGCATTTTTGTGTTTAGGGTTTTGCATCACAAGTTTATCACAGTGCAAATTAGTGAGTGAGAATGTGTTTAGAGTTTTGCAAAAAGAGTGCATGAGATCTGCAAACAGTGTCTAAACTGTCAGAACTTGTTTAAGGTTCTGCAGAAAGAGTGATTTATTTGACAAATTGGTTTAGGCTATTAAGAATTTGGTTCAGAGAATGGGGTTTAGTGTCTTAGCAAATGTGAAAAACTGTAAGACGCTAAAGGTACCCCTAGGCACTACTGTATCAAAAAACTAGGAATTGCATTTAATGAGAAACCTTTGGCATCAATAAATAGACAGCATGGAATATTCATTATCATTTGCACAGTAGGGACATTTTGACCAATAAGTTTAACTGTTCCTTACGTAAAGATAGACTTCAGAAGACTTGGAATGCAACATGAGTAATTTGTAATACTTTTATACTTTTTTGTCAGTCTTTGGCAAATAATTATTGATAAGAATAAACGGTGACTTGATCTGACACATAAGGCAAGCAATTGAAAGCAACAGAATGCCAAGTTTGCCAAGATAAATCCTAGGGGTACCATTAGCGTCTTAATAATGAAACACTGCTCTTGACCATGCTTCTGTTTTTTACACCTTGGGAGTGAGAATGGGTTGTGTTCAATAACAATTTAATTTATGTTCAACAAATAAAAAACAGATGTCATAAGGATAAACAAATGATAAAGCTTGGCTTATTGAATATCAGGTCCCTTTCTACGAACGCACTTTTTGTAAATGATATGATCACTGATCATAACCTAGATGTGCTCTGTTTGACAGAAACTTGGCCAAAACCTGATGATTACATTATTTTAAATGAGTCTACCCCCCAAGATTACTGTTTTAAACATGAGCCACGTCCAAAAGGTAAAGGGGGAGGTGTTGCTTCAATTTATAACAATGTTTTCAGTATTTCTCAGAGGGCGGGCTTCAAGTATAACTCGTTTGAAGTAATGGTGCTTCATATAACATTATCCAGAGAAGCACATGTTAATGATAGATCCCCTCTGATGTTTGTACTGGCTACTGTACACAGGCCACCAGGGCACCATACAGACTTTATTACAGAATGTGCTGATTTTATATCCGAGTTAGTGCTGGCTGCAGATAAAGTTTTAATTGTTGGT